CTGTTTCGATGTGTTCCAGTCAGGCTTTCTTCCAAACCACAGCACTGAGACTGCTCTTGTAAAGGTCTTCAATGACATCCAGTTAAACTGCTGCTGGTTTATAAAGCACTGAATGGTTTAGGCCCAAAATACATTTCTGACCTCCTGCTAAATGATGAACCATCCAGATCTCTCAGGTCTTCAGGGACTGGTCAGCTTTCTGTCCCCAGAGTCAGAACTAAACATGGTAAAGCAGCGTTCAGTTATTATGCTCCAAATATCTGGAACAAACTCCCAGAAACCTGCAGGTCCGCTGCAACTCTTACTACTTTTAAATCCAGGCTGAAGACTTTTCTTTTTGCCACTGCTTTTAATTGATATATTCATATCTTAGACTGCACTGTAACTTTTATTATCTTTGGTTTTTATCTTTGCTTTTAAATAAGTGCTTTTAAATGTCATTTTATAATATGTTTGTTAATGCTCTTAATGTCTTTCATGTTTGTAAAGCACTGCCTTGTGTTGAAAGGTGCTATATAAATAAACTTGCCTTTTCTTGCCTGCCTTGCCTTATTGCAAATTTTTATTTATTTATAAATAATAATAATAATTATCACCATAAAAAGTAATAATAAAAACAATATAAAAAACAATAATAATAACAATTATTATTCTTATTATTTTAATAATAAGAATATCTACCTTTACCACAATAATATGATTATTGTTATGTGGTATTATTATTATAATTTATAATTATTAATAACAATAATGAACATATTCATTATTATTGTTATTTATAATTATTTAGCACAATAATATTATAATTATTATAATTATTGTATCAGTATCAATATCATTGTTATTATTATTTATTATAATTAATAACAATAACTATAATAATAATAATCATTATTATTATTATTATCTACTTTCACCACAAAGGGGAGTGTTTTCAGCCAGTATCTCTAAACACTGTGCCCATGGTTCTCACCCAGCTCTTCTTCTTCTTCTTCTTGGCCTCCTGCTCCTTCAGACTGCCCATACTGGAGTGGCTGGAGGTGCTGGCCAGGCTGGAGATGCTTTCTGAGGAGTTCTGGCGATTGATCGGCATTTCTTAAAAGGAAAAAGTGCATGAATATCAGAGGAAAGCTTATTACATTTCTACCTTTATCTTTGAATGTGTTTTTAGTTTTTTACATCCCCAGCGCATTCTGTACCTTTAGGTGCGATTTCTGGAGTATTGAGAGCCACCTGGATGATTTCCTGGGCCTCTGAGTTTTTGACCCTCAGAACCTCGATGGTATCCTTCAGATCAGTGAGCTCAGACTCCTAAAGAAGGAATATACCAACATATGATCATGTGAGTTTACAGGCTGGTAACTCATCTAACAATTCTCTAAACCAAAAATGATGGAAGGTCGATCGTCTTTCAACAAGGATGACAGGGTTGTTTGTGGGGGATGGCTGAAGACAACATTGAAATCCTACTATACCTACTAACCTTTGACCCACAACTCATTTCCAGAACCCCTATGTCCCCTGGAAGCTGCTCATTCTCTGACGGGATCTAATATAAAGCATTGAACGATGATCTATTAGCACAGACTAATAGATTATCCTCATCATCATCATCAGCATCATCATCATGTATTTCAAACGTATTTTCAAATAAATTAAAGAGCCGGGGGTGGGGGGTTACATTTCTGTAGTCATATGTTTACGAGACAATAACTTGGGTGTTCTCTTAGACAATAAAGTAATTGGTTTGTATGAAACTAACTTTGAAAATATGTGTTTTGTCACATCCCTTATCAAAACTGCCCATAATCACCATATCATTATAAGTACCGGTACGTGTTTTATTAATATTGTTATATAATTATAAATAAAAGAGGTAAATGTTTGTTTTCATCTCATACATGTGTGACTTATTGTGTGTTTTTTCATTTTAAATCACATCTTTAATGCCTGAGTATATATATACTAGCTGATGAATAACTTTAATTCATCAGCACAGTGATGGATACCTTTTGCTCCGAGGAGACAGAGAGGGTCTGCAGGCGCGCCGTCATCAGCGCCAAACTCTGTTCAAATGCTGCTACCAGATTAGCCTTTAGAGAAGACAAAAAGACAGAGTTGGGGGGGTGAGACAGCAAACAGCTATGAGTCACCAGCTGCATCAAATCTCTCTGCAGCCTCACACGCTCACATCACATCAAGCAGCAGCTCTGTCCATCTACTGGGAGAGGAGGGAGGGGGGGGGG